TTTTGATTTATGTAGAGATGAGGTCTCGCCAAGTTGCCCAGACGGGTCTCGAACCCGCAGGCTCAGGCAATCCACTCACCTTAGCCTCCCAAGGTGCGGGATAGCTATTCCTTTAGAGTAGGTCTGATGGAGACAGATTCTCTTACTTTTCCTTCATCTGAGAATGTGCTCATTTTTATTACTAAAGGAAATTTTTATGGGATATAGGATTTAGTTATTTTCTTTTCTTTTCAGCACTTGATGTGCCAGTTTCTTCTGGCCATATGGTTTCTGATGAGAAATCTGCTGTCATTCACATCATTGTTTCCTCATCAGGCTCAGTGGTTCGTGCCTGTAATCCCAGTACTTTGCGAGGCTGAGATGGGCAGATTACCTTAACCCAGGAGTTTGAGATCAGACTGGGCAACATAGGAAGACCTCATCTCTCCAAAAATTAAAAAATAAGCCAGGCATGGTGGCATGCACCTGTAGTCCCATGAACTCGGGATGCTGAGGTGGAAGGACCACTTGAACCCGGGAGGTTGAGGCTGCTGGGAGACAGACTGAGACACCCAATTCGGTGGCTCAGCCTGTAATCCGCAGTTTGGGAGGCTGAGGTGAATGGATTGCCTAAGCCCGTGGGTTCAAGACCCACCTGGGCAACTTGGCAAGACTTCATCTGTACAATAAATCAAAAATTAGCTGGGCGTGGTAGCACCCGCCTGTAGTTCCAGTTCCTTGGAAGGTTGAGGCAGAAGGATCGCCGGAGCCCAGAAGGTCAAGGCTGTGGTGGCCCGGAGCAGCCACTGTGCTCCAGTCTGGGCGACAGAGTGAGACTCCAACTCAAAAATCAATCAATCAATCAATCAATCAATAATAAACAAACAAACAAATAAATAAATAAATGCATGGTTAGATAGATACATAAATAAATAAATCATTGTTTCTATTTTCCTGTCAAATAATTATTTTTCCTCTGTTTGCCTTCAAGATTTTTCTTGTTTGTCTTTAGTTTTCAAAAGTTTGACTATGATGTGGTTTAGTACAGATTTCTTTGGTTTTATCATATTTGGGTTTCTCTCAGCTTTTTGAAACTGTAAGTTTATGTCTTGCCATATTTAGAAATTTTTCAGTCACTATTCCTTCAAATACTCTTCAGCCTCACACTATTTCACCTCTCATCCTGAGATTCCAATGAATGCTATGTGTTTTGTAATATACCAGAGGATAATATCTCTGTAAGGTCCTTGAGACTTTTATTTTCAGTCTATTTACTCACTGTAAATTCTATTGTTATATATTCAAGTTCATGGAGTCTTTCCTTTGTCCCCTCCATTTTGTTGTTCAGCCCATCCACTGAGATTTTTATTTTGGTTATTGTGTTTTTCAGATCTAAAATCTCTATTTGGTTCTTTATATAGTCTTATTGCTTGCTGAGATTTTCCATTTAAAAAAAAAATTGTTCCAAGCATGTTTGTAATTGTTCATTGAAACATTTTATGATACCTATTTCAAAATATTTTTCAGATAATCTTAACATCTCAGTCATCTTAGTGTTGGCATTTATCAATTGTCTTTTCATTCAGTTTGATATCTTCCTGGTTCTTGGTATGAGGAATGATTTTCAACTGAATACTATTCATTTCAGATATTGTGTTATGAGATTCTGGAACTAATTGAAACCTTATGTTTTAGCTGATTTTTTGGACACTTTTCTAATAGGGGAAAGGAGAGGTGCTGCCTTGTTACTTCCAGATTGGGGTAGAAAATTCAGGCTCCCCATTCAGCCTTTGCTGGCACAGTTGCGGGTGGGGAGTCACAGTTTTTCCTGTGGTGTGGTTGTAGTAGAGTAGTAATTGTCTAAAAGTTTTCTGTCTTTCTGGGCTGCCCTTTTCCTGGTTCTTTGGCTAGAGAGAGTTGGCTTTAGCCAGGGATTTTTCAAAAATCTGCTGTCATTGGTGTTTTCTGAATTGATGCCTTCTTTAGCAGTTAGTCTGGGGGTATATGAAGGAAAAAGAAAGCCCAAGAACTATTACCATGTCGTTCTTTGGGTTTCAAGGTTCTTAGCCAGTATGTATTCTTCTCTTTGCCTTTCTTGGTCTTCTTATGCTTGTTTTATATATAGTGCCCAGGGTTTTTAGTTGTACTTTGTGAAAGGAATAGGGAAAAAGTACATCCATTCCATCTTCCTGAAAGCAGGGTTCCCAGTTGACTTTTAGAATCTCACATCTCTGATTAATTATTACATCTCATCACTTATTTCTGAAAGTATAGTATTAAAACCTCACATTTTAATATGCTGCCTTTGTTGAGTGAGTGGGTCATAGTCATGTAGTTTGTGAGAATCTGAAGCAGAACCATAGATTGAAGTGTCCCCAGAGCTCTTCAGCTGCCGAACTGGTGACAGATTCCTTCAGTCTGTATCACTGTCTAACTAATAAATCTTCAATATGTGCCCAGAACTGCACTGGGTGCTTGAGAGGCTATGAAGAAAGATGTCACCTTGACTCTTGGGGTATTTAATGTCTAGCTAGGGAGACAAGAAAAATAATTTCTTCATCTCAGGGCCTGGTATATAGTAGACACTCAATACATGTTTGTTGCGTGAATGAATGCTACTGAACAGATGCTAACTGCTCCTGAATGACAAGTGCTAAACCAAAATGTGTGATGCAGACTAAACATGCTGTATGATATGAGAAGAGAGGCAGCAGTGTGGGCTGAAGTAGTTAAGAAGGATTTTCTTATGAAGGGAGAGATTGAGTTGTCTTGGGTAGGATCTGGAGGTTTTTGGGGGTTTTTTTTGAAGGAAAAATTGACAGGACTTGTTAGCAGACTCTTTGCGGAGGATGAGAGAGAGAAAAAGGACAAATAAACTTTGGTTCATATCCTGGGTAACAGGCAGGCAAGCAGAACGTTACGAGTTTAATTTTATACTTGATTAGCTTGGGCTGTTAGCAAAACATTCAAGCACAGGTAGGTACACAGCAAATATTTTGAATATCTGGAGCTGAGGGAAAGATTTTACTAGAAAAACCCATCCTTTCACCTGAGAGTCTCCAGAAAATATAGGACCTAGTCCCAACTTTTCAGCCAACAAAATGGTGATCTAAGGCAATTGATGTTCCTCCTTGGGCTTTGGTTTTCTCATCTATAAAATGGGGTGCATTGGTAGATTTTTTAAAAATGAGATATTTGGGTCAGCATAGTATTTGGTATTTGTAAGGAGCCCTATACTCATTGAAATATTTTCCTTCTAGCTCTAAAGTTCTAGGATTGTGTGATTTCTTTGAAAGGAGAATAGTCTTTAATATATCTGTCTTCTATGACTGGGTTTTTAGCAAGCCCACCAGTTTATATCATGTGAAGCTAAGAATGTAGGGGAGGGAGTGTTGTACATGTTGTATCTCAATCTATTCAGACTTCCTAAGTTCTTCTCTCTTTTGAGCATTTGCAGTTTTCATGCTTGAATCAGAAAAGTCTCCATTTTGGCTGACTCCAGCCCTCTACTCTGGGGAGTAGAATGGGCAGGTAGCCATTAGTACACAGGAAGGGAGGGCTTTGTGGTATCTTAAAGCCATTGGATTTTATTTATTTCCAGTTTGCTCAACATTTGTTCCACAGATCTGGACAGTTTAAAAAGGGGGGGGGGATGGAAAGAGGAAAGCGTGAAAAATAACTAGGCCTAGAGAAAAGGATGAACACATTTGCTTTTCAATATCAAACTAGGGCTCACAGCACTTCAATCTGAAAAGACTTTTGGACTTTATTTAGTTCTTTTAAAAGGTGAGCACTGCTGTAACTGTCCACAAGGCATCTCAAGAATTGACTTTAGTTCGAGAAACAGTTCTACATCTTGTTACTGAGATTTTATGAATGTTGGTCCCTTGTCTATCATAAATAGTATTTACTTCTTTCAAATTACTAAAAAAATTTAGATTTTAAAGCAAGATAAGCTCATTACAAAAATAAGAAAACCAAAAGCACTCAAAAATCCCACAATGTAGAGTTAAACATTGTTAATATTTCTACTATTTCCTTCTAGTCTTTTTTCTACACACACACACACTTAGGGTCATACTCTAAGTTCATTTGTGTATTTGCCTCTCTCCCATTTAATTTAGGTTTACTAATGACATTTACACATGTCATTACATATCCTTCTAAACATGATTATTTAAAATAACTGCATTGCATTTCATAGTATAAATGCTACCACATAGGATTTCGTAGTATGAACAAGTTGTTTTTACTTTTTCTCTATGTTAAATGGCGCTACAATGAATTTCCTATTATTTATGCTTTTTTGTGCACCTCTATTTTTTTAAGGATAAATCTTTAGAAAGAGAATTACTGGGTGAAAGGATAAGAGCATTGTTAAGACTTTGGCACATTTTGCCAAGTTACCCTGTGAAAGAGTTACGCCAGTCTGCATTCCCTTTACTGTATAATAATGTCTGACTTACTATATTAACACAGAATATTTCACCATCATATATACTTGACACTATTGTGGATCATTTGATCCAAATGGCATTTACTGAGCACCTACTATGTGCAGGGTACTGTGCTAGACATTAGACTCACTCCTATTATGCAGTGTAAGTGCTAGGTAGATAACACATGTACAAAGATAGTTAAAAATGCAAGTGAAATATAATAGACATAAATCTCTGACCAGGGGCCAGGACTGACATCATTCAACCTTTAAATGGCTACTCATTGAGTGAAGACACTGTGGTAGCTAATTAAAAAAAATAATTTAGACCTTGTAAGCACTTAAACAAACAGAATACATTAATATGAATCTTGCAAACAACAGAGGTTCCATTGTGATCGTTTACATTGTATTTCCTGGTGTAAATCAGAGTAGGAATGGAGAAGAATATTACAAATTCACATCTTTTTATAAGCAAAACCCATTTGGGTAAAAGGACAATTTCTGCTTTTGTCAGTTCCCTTTAGAAAGTTAACCTGTTGGTTATCAGAGAAGGGGGACACAGAACACACAGAAAGCTAACCTCCTTCTGGCAGCTGGGGATAATTTGTCAGTCTCCTTTGAAATGTGGCTTTGTGTTCACTGGTGAAGGCAGCTGGAATAGAAAAAGCATGACAGACAAAAGCTGAAATCCACATGAAGAAAGGTCTTTTTCCTAAAAATTACTGCTCGAGTTAGCAACGGTCAGAACAGAAAGTACATGTATATCTTCCCAGCAACAAGCACGTCTGGCACTAGTGAAGGTTCCCTATGTGACAGGAGGCATTTAAAATGGCTGTGGGCTTGAATAGGGCTGCTAAACAGTATTTGAACAAGCCTCCCCACCCCCATGAAAAAAAATTATACCCTCAAATTAAATCCATCTAAGACTGAGACTAAATAAATGAAAGTGTCATGTTTTAAAATCTGCCCAAAGTGTTTACTTTTTTCCTCTTTTTCCTTTTAATTTTTTTATTATAAAGATGTGGGGTACAATTCAGGGTTAGGTATGCCAACATTGATTATGCAGGTACCCTTGTTGATGAGGTATGCCTTCCCTCCCCTAGCAGTTTCCCTCAACTGCCAATCCAGCCCCCCTCCCCTGACAGTTTCCCTCAAATGCCAATCCAGCCCCCCTCCCCTGACAGTTTCCCTCAACTGCCAATCCAGCCCCCCTCCCCTGACAGTTTCCCTCAACTGCCAATCCAGCCCCCGTCCCCTGACAGTTTCCCATTACTGCCAATCGCTTTCTTATAGCATTATAATTGTTCAAGGTCCACTTATGAGTGAGAACATATGGTTCTCTGTTCTTTGTTTCTGTGATAGATCACTGAGTATGATCGACTCCAAATCCATCCAAGTTGCTGCGAAGTCTATATATTTGTCCTTCTTTTTTTAAAATTTAACTTATTTTATTTTATTTTTTTCCAAACTGTTTACTATTCTGAAAAGGAAGACCTACTTAGTGTACAGTAGATGGTGGTTTAAGAAATAGAAGTTTAATTATATGATTTGTAGTTAAAAAGTAATCAACAGAACAACTGAAAATAATACTGCCAAACTGGAAACAACCCAAATGGCCTTCAACTGGTGAATGGATAAGCTGTGGTACATCCATGCAATGGAACACTCCTCAGCAATACAAAAGAACAAACTACTGATATACGAATCTCAAAATAGTTACACCAAGTGAAAGAAGGCAATTTCAAAAGGTTACAAACTATATGATTCCACTTCCATAACATTTTGGAAAGGGCAAAATTGTAGGAACATAAAACAGATAGTGGTTTTCAGGGGTAGAGGATAAAGGGAGGAATTGATTACAAAGGGCAGCATAGGGGAATTTGGGGGGGTGATGAAGCTGTTCTATATCATGATTGTGGTGATAGTTACGTGATTTGATGTATTTGCTTCATAGAACTGTACCCCAAAAAAGTAAATTTTACTGTATGTTATTTTAAAAAGCCAATTTAAAAATCTCATAAAAATAATGCTATTAAACATGGGGAAGTGAAGAAAATAGTACATTACATACTTGGAAGTAATGTACAATGAACAAATCCTCCATTTTTATAACAGAGAGTAAATAGCTACGGTCCAAATGGATAAAATCAAACATAGGCGTAGAGGCATCCTATTTAGAGATGCAGAGGTAACTACTAGATAAACTGAAAACAGAATCTGTTAAAAATGGTTACCTCTGAGGAGCAGGAATGAGGAGTGGGGCAGAGAACTGTTGTTTTTTTATTACAAGTGCTCTGTATTATTTGATATTTTAAAATCATACTCAAGTACTATTTTAATTTACAAATAAATGTAGTGGACAAAGCACTGGACTGGGAATCCAGAAACATGATCTCTAACCCTGATTCTGCACTAACTGAGCAAATCCCTTCCCCTCTCTGGGCCTTGGTTTCTACATCTGTATGACAAAGTAGTTGGAATACATGACCGTTAAGAACCCTTTCATATCTAAAGAAAATGATAAAATCGGATTACTTGTACATCCACAAAAATTCTTTGTTGAATGCAAAGTTAAGAAACAGGCATTTTTATTTTTAAAGCTGGAAGGGACTAACTCATCAAATTCAATAGTCTCTTTTTAACCACTAAAGAAACCAAGGCACAGATTGGTTAAAAGATTCATTTGGATGACAGTTAATTGGTGACAGAGCTGTGGCTGGAGCTCAGGCTCCTCGTGGCTCTTGCCATTGCACCACACACCTACTCCCAGGTCTAATGGAATCAGTCCTGGGCACCAGGGCTGACAAAAATTCCCTGGGATGACACTAGGCGTGTAATTCACATGCTGAAATTGTTTCATTGGCCTGGGAGATGAGTCAGAATTTTGGAAGTGGTCCCTGACATAAGCATGTGTGATGCAATCCCATAGGCATTTCAAAGTTGGTCAAGGCTGTATTAAATTCCAGTTGTGGAACTCTATTCTCTAATAACTTGTGCAATAGGCTGCCTTTGACAGCTACTGCTAGCCTGCTAACTTCCCCTTTTATGTGATAGGAATCCCACCACTCAGAATTCTCATTCTGTTGTATAACAATGGGCTTATCCATTTTTTAAATCAGTCTTTCATTTCTAGAACCTCTAAGCTTGTTCCATGTTTCACTGAAATCCATCAAGTATGACAGAAGATATGTTCACTTGGAAACTTTTATTAGCTGTCATCAAATTTTAAAAGTATCTTGGTGTGATTTAGCAATCCTTCTAGGAAGAGAGTTGAAACTGACCCCTGACTTTGACCACACTGCCTTCCTGGGGAAGACCTTCCATGTTGACCAACAAGCAGGCTAAAAACATGTGCGTTTTGCCAATCATTCCCTTCCCCCTTGCTGGGGCCTGCAGGCTCACTTGTCCCTCATGGCACAAGGTCCGAAGTTTACAGAATAAGGACACCATTATGTGGAGCTATCATTCTTCCTCAGAGGAAACAACACTGCCCTTTGTAAGCCCCCAGCTAACTTCAAAGGGTGTGGCTATCTTTCTGTGCTCCAAGGGAAGCCTCCTCAGGAAACATTGTTCACAGTCCCTTTCCAGTTCTAGAGTCTTCTTCGGCTGATAGTGAGTGAGAGCAGGCATTTTCAGGCAGCCATCCTTTTGGTGTTTTGTCTGCCTTAAAAGCCAGATTGTATTTTTTTCAAACCTCCTTGGAAAATACTAGCTTGCCAACTTTTGTGCTCCCCTTCGATCAGTGCTCCCACTCCAGCCTGGCTTCCTGCCCAGTTCTGAATCCTGCCTTACCTACTGCCTGGTGTTTACTTCACAACAGCTGGCTCAGGGATCTCAAGTACTTAGCCTCAGCTGCCAGCTTAGGGAAAGAGAGGCCCCTGTAGTTGAGCCTGTGACAAAGACAGCATTTGTTCCCACACCAGTATTCTCAATGTCAACAGCAGTGACAGGCTCCAAAGGGGATCATGCCCAGTCATTTCCCACTTGATGAGAACTCCACAAGCCCAGGGATGTTCATTTATCCAGCTTTGACTCTCTCCACAATGCTGTGAAGTGACTAGAAACCAGTGATAGGATTCCCATTTTACACCGGGGGAGAGCAAATGCCTGGACTTCAGGGACTCATCCAAGGGAATGACGATCATTTTGTTCAAAACAAGAATCAGAGTAGTTGGGTCTGACAGATGTTGGTTTCTGTGATGTGCCAATCTGTTTATGTGAAAAGTGCTATAAACTGGTTTGCTCATCACTGAGTAAATGTAGTGGTGCCATCCAAAATGATGGATGATGGAGAGGAGGTTGCTGTGAGAGTAGAGGTGGCTCAATACACTGCAGGAAAAAGGCAAAGTGAGACTTTACCCAAGAACACCTCTCTTAGGGGGTTAGGTGGCATTCCTGTCTTCCTTTCACCAACAACTGTTGACTGTGCCAGACACTGGGATGACAGAGATGATTCACATATGCTTTTGTCCTCAAGGTGTTCATAGTTGAATGAGATTTCAGGTCTCAGTAGTGACTGAGGGTTACGACAGTGTCCAGCCTCAGACTTGAGGAGATTCATGTTTCTCCCTGGGCTGGCCAAAATAAACTGATATATGTGTGGTTTTTCTAACTGTAGTGATCAGTGTGCACTGAATGGCTCACTTGGATTCTCCTCTTTAAAAGCAGGATCCCTCAACTGCCAGTCCCATCCCCCTTCCCCTGACAGTTTTCTGCTACTGCCAATCGCTTTCTTGTAGCATTATAATTGTTCAAGGTCACCTTATGAGTGAGAACATATGGAACTCAGTTCTTTGTTTCTGTGACACATCACTGAGTATGACTGATCCAATTTGCTGCAAAGTCCATAAATGTGTCCTTCTTTATGACTGCATAATATTCCATTGTGTATATGTACCACATTTTTTTAATCCAGTCCAGCTTTGATGGGCAACATGGTTGGTTCCATGTTTTTGCTATTGTAAATAGAGCTGCAACAAACATACGTGTGCAGGTATTTTTTTTGAAGAATAATTTGAATTCCTCCAGGTATATTCCCAATAGGGGAATTGCTGGGTCATATGGGACTGGCAGTTGAGGGAAACTGCTAGGGGAGGGAGGGCTTGCCTCATCAACAAGGGTACCTGCATGATCAATGTTTGTATACCTAACCCTGAATTGCATCCCACATCTTTATAATAAATAAATAAATTTTTTAAAAATGAGAAAATGAGCAAAAAAGAAGAAAATTTTTTTTTAAAAGCAGGATCCGTTTATCACTAATCTGGCCGGACTATTTATCATAATGTTAAAAAATACAGTTATAAGTTGTAATTAAGGTCTCATATCAGTTGATTTTGAGTTAATATAAAAGAAATATTTTGCTTTTGGTGAGAACCATCATCGTCCAGTAATTTGCCAAAATGATGAACACAAAGGGAAACAGGAGAGGCACCTGGTATATGTTCTCTAGGCCTTTCAGAGACCATGGAATTGCTCCTTGGGCCACATACATCAAGAAAGGTGATATTGTAGACATCAAGGGAATGGGTACTGTTCAGAAAGGATTGTCCCACAAATGTTACCATGGCAGAACTGGAAGAGTCTGGAAGTGTCACCTAGCATGCTCTTGTCATGTTAAGTGCAAGATTTTTGCCAAGATTATTAATATGC